GTTGATCTGCCTGTTCTGCTCCCCACTCTGTCTCTGGTGAATCCTCTCACCCTCCGCATCTCTGGCCTGTACCCCAATTCTGTATGAATAAATGAATAAATCTTAAAAAAAAAAATTCCAAAATGAGTGAATTATCTCTTACCTTTTATTTTACAAAAAAGATTTGTTTGGGGCCTTCCCTGGTGGCACAACGTGTGAGGATGCAGCACTGCAAGCGAGCTACTGTACTTCAGTGCTAGTTCGACCCCCAACCCCAGAGGTGACCCATATGGTGCAGCTGACCTCTCTGGCCGTGCCCCTGCTCCCCTCAGCAGTGTACTTCATCTATATGCCTGTTCTGCTCCCACTCTATCTCTGGTGAATCCTCTCACTGAACCTGAACCTCTGGCTTGCACCCCAGTTCTGTATGTATAAATAAATCTTTATAAAACATTAAAAAAAAGATTTGTTTTATTTATGCATATAAGAACTGGGGTGCAGGTCTGAGATGAGTAGGGGGTAGGAGGGAGTGAAAAGATTCCCCAGAGACAGAATGGGTAGCAGAACAGGCAGATCTACTGAAATGCATTGCTAAAGTGAGCAGCAGACAAGACAGGAGAAGTCTGCTTAATTAAAGACTTAATCCCTTGTACTACCAGGGAGACCTCTTACTTCGTTAGGTCTCTGACTTGCCAATTTCCATTTTCTAATAAATTAACTGTATTTTATTAAAGTTACTCTTTATAACTGTCAACTTTCTAGATAGACTAGTTTGTCTTACAGTTGATTTTTATATGCCTTAAGCTTTAAGAAATTTTTTTATCTATAATTTTCATTCTTCGTCTACATTTACCTTTATTTCTATTGTGCAGTATTTCCAGGATGAGTAAAAACCCGTAGTTTATTTTGTGGAAGTTTGCTTAGCTAAGTTATCAATGTGCTCATTTAAAATTTAAAGTTAGTCAAATACACATAAGTTTTCCAGCAATTCTTAACTTGAGAAAGAACAGACTCTCAGAGATTGAGATATTTGTTATGTAAGGATGAGTTTAAATGTCTTATTTTTCCTCCATTAAAGAAAAATATCAAAGCTAAGAATTTGAAATATCAAAGCATGAAAAATTAAAAAAAAAAACTTTCTAATTTACATATATTTTTTTACATTGCAATTAGGTAATGATGAGCTATGAAAGGGTGTGCAACAAAATTCAGGCTGTAAATGGGATTATTTTCTTGATTTCTCCTTGTTTGCATGTAGGAACACAATTAATTTATAAAAATTGATTGTGTAACCTGTAGGAACACAATTAATTTTTGTAAATTAATTGTGTAACCTGTCATTTTATTGTTCTGGTTCACTGTTTCAATTAGTTAATGGAGTCTCAGGGTTTTTTATGTATATTATCATGAAATCTACATTAGTGATAATTTTACTTGGTCTTTCCCTATTTGGAAGACTTTTATATCATTCTCTTGCCTAATTACCCTGGATAGTACTTCTTTTTTTTTTTTTTAAGATTTTATTTATTTATGCATATAGAAATGGGGTATAGGCCAGAGGTGCAGGGGCAGCGAGAGGATTCATCAGAGAGAGTGGGGAGCAGGACAGGCAGATCAACAAAGTACACTGCTGAGGGGTTTAGTAGGCAAGACAGGAGAGGTCTGCCACACCATGTGGATCACCTCCAGGGTAGGGATGAAAATCGCACTGAAGTGGCCATGGCTTGGCTTGGCTTAGCTTGGCTTAGCAGTGCAGTGCTCCAACCTGCTGCATCACCAGGGAGGGCCCAGTAGGCCTTCTAATACTTTGTTAAATAGCAATAGTGAAAGTGGACATCCTTACCTTGTACCAGATTTTAGAGATAAAGCTTTTAGTTTTCCACCACTGAGTATGATATTGGCTCTAGGTTTGTCATATGTAAACATTATTATATTAAGCTACATCCCACTTATCCCCCCTTCTTTTAGGTTTTTATCGTAAATGGATGCTGATCTTATAAAATACTTTCTCTTTACCTACTATTATAATCATAATGATTTTTACCTTGCCTTTTCTTCATGTAGTGAATTATAGTAACTACTTTTCAGATGCTAAAACATCCTTGCATCCCTGGAATAAGTTGTACTGTCATGATATATGATCTTTTTACATTGTTGAATTTGGTTTGCTAAGATTTTGTTGAAAATTTTTCATCTATATTCATGAGAAATATTTGGTTTGTAATTTTCTTTTTTGTGTGATGTCTTTGTCTGTTTTTGGTATCAGAGCAGAATAAAATGCCTAGGTGCAAACTTAACAAATATAGTGAAGGACTTGTACAATGAAAAGAAACAGAAGACATTGTTGAATTAAAAAAAAAAAAATAGAAGACACAAAAAAGTAGAAAGCTATTTCCTGCCTGTGGACTGGAGGAATATTGTTCAAATGGTCACCATACTCAAAGCAATATACAGATTCAATGCAATCCTTATAAAAATTTTAGTGGAACTCTTCAGAGAAATAGAACAAACACTACTAATATTCATATGGAATAACAAAAGACCCCAAACAGCCAAAGCAAACTAGGCAAAAAAGTAAAGTACATCACAAGCCAAGGTTTCAAAATATACTACAAAGTAATAGTAATCAAAACAGCATGGTACTTGAATAAAAAAAGACATACAGACCAGTTCATTGAGAGCCTAGAAATAAACTAACACCTTTTGGGACAGTTAATCTCAACAAACAAGCAAAGTGTATACATTGGAGAAAGGAAATTTTCCAACAAATGGTATTGAGAAAACTGGACAGCCACATTCAAAAGGATGAAACTACTATCTCATACCACATACAAAAATTAACTCAAAATGAATTAAAGAGATGTAAGACCTAAAATCATAAGGTACACAGGTGAAATATAGGCAAAATACTACACAACAGTGGTTTCAGAGATGTCTTTGTGCATTTGTCTCCAATAGTAAGGGAAACAAAACAAATTACAAACAAATGGGACCATATCAAACTAAAAAGTTTGTGTACAGCAAAAAAAAAAAAGAAAGAAAGAAAGAAAAGAAACAAGTGCTCAGTGTTGGCAATGACTCCGTGCAAGTGAACAAGTAGGCTTCAAAACTGAGCTCTAAGGCATAGTGAAAACGCATGCATCCTGGAAGAAAACACCCGGATGACCGGGCCAGGTTCTGAGTACCCAGAAAGTGACCTGTATAGAGTCATGCCCATTTTTACTCACGGAAGAAGATAACTGATAATATGTTGCTTAGGAGGGACAGGAGGGACAGGAGGGACTGATAAGATATATAGACTTAAGCCACCTGGCATTCAAGGCACCCAATTGTCTATAGCAGGCTGGCAGAGTAGCTCAAAGAGAGTATCCAATTAAGTAGGTAAGAGTTGTATGGTATGCTTTGAAGTTACACTTTGCTGCACCTGGAAATGGTATATAACAAGCACTAAAACAATAAAGTTTCACACATGCTGGACATAGCAGTCCCCCATGTCTGATTGCTTTTACTGCTGCGTCCCAGTTCTGGACTCACTAGAAGTCCACAGCTCAGGCCCTCCATGGTGGTGCAACAAGTTAAAGTGCAGCACCAAGAAGCTCACTGCCGCTGCCTTCACAGTGAGTTTGATCCCTGCCAGAGAGGTGACCCATATGGAGTGGCAGACCTCTCTTGATCCACCCTCTGCTTCCCTCAGCTGTGTACTACGTTGACCTCTCTGTTCTGTTCCCCACTGTGCCTCTGATGAATCCTCTCACCACTCCTGTACTTCTGGCCTGTACCCCCGTTGTGTATGCATAAATAAATCTTTAAAAAAAGAAAAGTGCTCATTAGAACAAGAAAACACCCAAGAAAATATCTGGACATCATACATCTGACAATGGGCTAATATTCAAGATCTATAAAGAACTCATATAACTCAACAAAAAGAAAACAAAAACAAATAACCTAATCAAAAAATAAGTAGAAATGCTAAATAGGCAATTCTTCAAAGAAGGTATACAGATGATCAACAAGCACATGAAAAAAATATTCATCATCATTTACTGTCAGGGAAAGGAGAATCAAAACCACAATGAAATACCATCTCATACCAGTAAGAATGGCCCATATCAAAAAGCCCAGAAATAAATGTTGACAATGAAAAAGGAACTGTCATACACTGCTGGTAGAATATGTACTGTTTCCATATGGAGGTTTCTCAAAATATTAAAAATATATCTACCATGTGATCCAACAATTCCACTTCCAGGTGTCTACCTTAAGAATGTAAAGTCACTAAATTGAAGGAATACAAATACTCTGATGTTCATCGCAGCACGACTTACAGCAGATAAGTTAACAACTTACATGTACAACCACACATGACTGAATCAATATAAAGTATATTAACAAAACAGAACATATTCAACTACAAAAAGTGGTAAAATCTTGGAATTTACAGCAACCTAAATGAAAATGGAAGGGATAATGCTAGGCAAAAGAAACCAGAAAAAGGAAGACAAATATTGGATGGTATCACTCATATATGAAATATACAGAAACAAACAAAAAAAGGGCCAGACAGAACCAAAGCAATTATACGTCTGCCTATAGAATTGAGGCTACCAGAGGGTAAGGTTGGGGTACAGAGCAAGGTATATCAGGACAAATGGATCATGGGGGAAGGACTATGGGTATCTGTTGGAGGGCATAATATGGTAAAAAAAAAATGTAAAGGCGGAAAAAAAAAATAATGAACAACTATATACCAGAGACATTTTAAGTGGGTGGGAATGGGATCAAAAATGGGGAGGCGAAGGGAGGAGGGAAGTGTACTGGACTATGGTGATGGCACATGGGTGATTTGGTGATGGGAAGCCCACAGGGATTACAACTGATATGGAAAAAGGCACAGAATGATGTAAAAATAAAATCTTATGTTATAAAAAAAAAATTTGAAGAGATTTTCCTATACCACTAAATCATATACAGTATGGTAAACCATTATTACTTTAATTGAAAAGAAAAAAAGAAGAAAAAATTCAGACTATAAGAACGGTAATAAAATTCAAAGGAAAGTATTAAACACACTACAAAAGATAAAATTATGAAAATGATCAGGAATAGTGAAATACAGTAAGAAATAATACAGCGTTATTATTTCAGTGTTCAACAGAAAAAGATTTAATAACAAGTAAAAATCTTAGAATTTTTATTTTGTCTAACAGGAGTTTTTAGTTTACTAAAATCAGAAATCAAATTTAACTCAGAAGCATCCCATCCTGTTCATAAAATCTAATACTTTATTCATTCAAAATTAAAAAATTTGGGCCCCCTCTGGGGGGATAAGGGGTTAAATCTCAGCACTATCAAGCTATGGACAGCCACTGCAATATAAGTTCAATCCCTGGCCAGGGAGCTAACGCACATGACACAGCAGACCACTCTTCTCTCACCCACTGCTACCCTCAGCAGTATATTTCAGTAGATGTGCTGGTTCCACTCCCCTTTCTGTCTCTAGTGAAACCTCTCTCTCTCTCTCTCTCTCTCTCTCTCTCTCTCTCTCTC